GGGAGAAGCAGAACTTTGATAGAACTGAAGCAAGAAGAACCTTAAGTTCTGTCATAACTAAATGTTGGCCAACACAGATACGAGGACCTGTTCCGAATGGCACGTAAGCCTGCGGAGACCGGCAAGCCTGAAAAGTTCCATTGGCAAATCTTTCCGGGTTGAACTCATGCGCATCTGGCCCCCATATGTCAGGGTTGTGCTGTAAAAAGGGGATTGGTATTTGAAGGATCTCACCCTTTGGAATCACAATGTTCTTGAGTGTGACAGTTTCAAAGGCCTCTCTAGTTACAAAGAATGCAGGCGGGTAAAGACACAACACCTCCTGATTCACCATTTTCAGCTGCAGACAATACAAGTATTAAAGGTGAAAATGCTAAATTCTTTATACGGGTAATAACTCTGGAAAAGTAAAAATTCAAAAGGGGACAATAGAGACTCGGGTAATGGGCTAATAGTAATGGATAATACTCTAAATTACTGTTATTGATATAAAAAAAGGGGAAAAATAATTATAAAAAAAATCTCAGTATCTATGTAAAGCGTCTAGCCACACGGCTATACTATTTATAAATAAATAAATAAAAATATAAATAAATATAAAACCATCCCAGTAGAACCGCACGGCTACACTCTTTTTAAAAAAAGAATTCCGAGTATAGCCGCCCGGCTATACTAGTTATTTTAAAAAAACGAGACCCCCCCCCCCCCACGGTCAAAAACAGTATAACAGTGCGGCTATATTTTTTTTTTAAAGACCCAGTAAAGCCAGTTGGCTTTACGGTTTTTCAAAATAAAAAAACTGGAGAATAGCCGCGTGGCTATATTATTTATGTCCTAGCCCCCCTCGCCCAACTAGCGGTTGGGGACGTGTCAAAAATGGCATAGCCAACCGACTATACTATTTTTTTTAATAATAAAACCGTGTATAGCCGCGCGGCTATGCCCGTTAAGTATAAAAAAAAAAAAAAAAAGTTAAAAACCACCCCAGTAAAGTCGCACGGCTATACTCGTTTAAAAAAATAAAAAATAATCCCTGAGTATTGCAGCTTGGCGATAGTATTGACCAAAAAAAAAAGAGGACCCGCCTAGCACTGAGTGCCCAACTAGCAATTGGGACGTGTCAAAAACAGTATAGTTGCACGGCTATATTATTTTTTATATAATAAAAAACAGTTGTATAGCCACGGGGCGATACTATTTATTTTTTTTTTAAAAAGGACCCTTCTAGTTGCATTAGTTTATACTTTATAAATACTAGCTTTTCCGTTCATGCAAGATGCTTTTTTGGTTTTAAATTTAAATTTATTTTAGAATTAAAAAAGATAATGGGTAATTGTGTTCCATAAAAATATGATCCATTATCTGATTTTTCTTTTAATTTTAATTTTTTTAATATGCAAAAGTATGAATTTACCATATTATCCTCATTTAATTAATAATTTCAATTCTTAATGTTTGCATTAATCAAGGGCATTTTATTGTATTTTGAACGTTTTACCATTCTATATCTTTTGCTTTATATATATAGATTAATTTGCTAGTTTCGATATATATACTTTATAGATTTAATTTTTTAAATATATATTATTTGTATTCAATAATATGCCAAAATTATGTCTATATAGCAAATCATAGTTTCATTTCATATGGGTAAATTATATGATGTAGCAAATAGTTTCATTTCATACATACCATCCTCGATTCCAATTAAATGCTTAACAAGTTTTTTATTGAGTAGGTGTAAAATGTAAACCGTTCGATACAAGTAATTAAAAGACTTGCTAGCTACTTGTAATTTTTCGCTTCAATGTAATTGATATTAGGTGCTATCTAAATTCTAATGACATTTATTTTAGTTCCGGAGAAAAAATTAAGATATTGGAGGATGCTAAAAGGTTAGTGTCTGGGGATATTGCAGCTTGTTGTATTAATTATTATCATGATAGTTACAAGATTAGCAAGTAACTATTGAAGTGGTAATTGTCCAGTTTCTGTGTTGCACTTCCTAGTGTACAAAGTATACATGAACGTAGCATACCCTCCAACAAGAAACAAACGAATTTCTATTGGTTTCTCCAACACACATTACTCCCCATTTTGTTCAATGATGATTACATTTCACTTGATAATATATGCTTCGCGCGGTAGCACTAGCTATTTTTGTCCATTTCGTTCTTCTGGTTTGTGTAAAAAACATGAACATAGCTCTTAGATTTTCCTCAAAATCTCAAAATTGGCGTGCATGAGTCGGTTTGTTAAGTGTATTGGTTAGATTTCCAATCATGTAATTTAATAATTTAATCCAAATATAAGGGCCGTCCCTACATATACTGACACATATATTAGACAATCATATTCATATGTGACATATAAGATCATCCATACATTTTGCTCTTTTGCATTTCACGAATATCGTTTTATACTCTTTCAAGACAAAAAAAATATTAGGGGGGTGTATTCAATTGTGATTTCCACAGTTTTGGTCCAAGCTTTGACAAAAACTAGGAGTAGTCATGGGGTTGGGCTAGGAGTTTTCAGTATGTTTCTTTATTTTGTATTTCTGGAGCTATCTGTTTTGCATTAGGTGTTGGTGGTTTTGGATGTAGCTTCTAGCCTCAGCTTATGCTTTTGTATTTCTATTGTTGGTTTCTCAATTGTGCTTTGTTTCTTTAACGTATTCATTCTGGCCATGTGTGGCTATGCTGGGAGTTACATTGTTGATGTCGATGTACTCTCCCTGGACTAACCTTTGATGGTTACTGTGCCTCCATCTTTGTATTAACCCTAAAAATTGGGTATATTCCTTCAGGTTATGTATTTAGGTGAATGATGATGGGTGATAGAGTTCAAGCTTGTATGGAAATATAAGTAAAATCATGTAATTGCAATCTATTAAAATCATAAGTAAAATCCTAAGTGAATTAAAATCATGAGTAAAATCATGTAATTGCAATCTATTAAAATCATAAGTAAAATCCTAAGTGAATTAAAATCATGAGTAAAATCATGTAATTGCAATCTATTAAAATCATAAGTAAAATCCTAAGTGAATTAAAATCATGAGTAAAATCATGTAATTGCAATCTATTAAAATCATAAGTAAAATCCTAAGTGAATTAAAATCATGAGTAAAATCATGTAATTGCAATCTATTAAAATCATAAGTAAAATCCTAAGTGAATTAAAATCATGAGTAAAATCATGTAATTGCAATCTATTAAAATCATAAGTAAAATCCTAAGTGAATTAAAATCATGAGTAAAATCATGTAATTGCAATCTATTAAAATCATAAGTAAAATCCTAAGTGAATTAAAATCATGAGTAAAATCATGTAATTGCAATCTATTAAAATCATAAGTAAAATCCTAAGTGAATTAAAATCATGAGTAAAATCATGTAATTGCAATCTATTAAAATCATGAGTAAAATCATATAATTACAAATCCGGCTGAAATTCATTACATTAAAATCATGTAATTACAATCTATTAAAATCTCAATTGAATACACCCCCCTTAGAAGTGAATTAATATTTGCACGTATTTGCACGCAACTTGGTTGATGATCATTTTGCAAGAGAAAAAGTTTCAAAGCACTGTGGTCATGTAAAGTCTTGAATAATCGCAAGGTTTCTCATCCACACATTGTGGCCAAAGTGATCTTGATATTTTCCTTTCCTCACCTTCTAATTTATTACTTCATAAATGTCCCCAACCCAATCGTTTAGGTATATACTATGAACTTTTCATTAATTTATAGATATTAATTAATAACAGTATTTGATTAATTTTGAATTAAATTACGTTGCATATAAAACCGTTTGATATTTGACAGTTGATGATATATGCAATGCATGCAAAAGAGGTTATTACAAGCTTTCAAACTTCTGAGCAAATGTGGTCGGTGGAGGGTGCTTTAGTAGATAAAGCCAGGGGCCTTTTTAATCTTTTTGCTCGCATTTTTTGTCGATTTGCTCCTCGGGCGGATCCACAGAGGCGCAACCCTTGCTGGAAAAAGCTTTGAAGTCACCGGAGTTTGCCCCTCAACTCTACCTTGGAGGTGCCCACCACCTGTTCGAATAAATGCCTCAGCAACCCAGCGACCTTTCTTTTCTTTGTTGCGATGCTGCGCTGAGTGCAGCGCGAGTTCAGTTTTTTAAGTCCTGGGCAAACGATGTTGTTTGGGTCAGGCAAATTTTTTTATTTTATTTAATAGCAAACCTAAAGCCTTATTTCCACAGAACTAGGGATGGCAAAAATCCCCGCGTGGGCGGGTCCCCATCGGGTCCCCGACCCTAACGGGGGGAGATTTTGGGGCCAAACGGGTATCGGGTACGGGGATCCCCGAACTTGAAAAATCCTCGACGGGTATGGGGAGGGGATGGTATTGGCGTCCCCATCCCCGAACCCAACCCGAAAATATATATGTTTATATTTAAATAAATAAATATATAATTATAATATTTATGTTTAACCCTAAGTTAACCTCCCTCTCCTAATTCTTCCTAATCTTCCCTGGATTTTCATATTGATGTGATTTTGAATAGTTGAGTTGAACTTTATAGTTAATTTGAATGTGTTGAATGATAATTGAATATGAAACTTAATGTTAAAATGTATGATAAGTATTTTTTATGCAAAAAAATCGGGGATTCCCTACCCGGCCCGTTGCCATCCCTACATAGAACAGAGGAGCGTGTTCTTGGAGTCCAAGTTGGAATTAAATGGACCAAGGGATGCTTTGCTTTGAAGTCTTGATTCTTCACGAAGCTTTGCGTGCTCCTGAGTCTTGCTGCAGATCCATCCCTCTTCTCCAAGTTTGAATGTTTTTTTTTCCCATTTTTGTTTCTTCTGGTTTTTTTTCCTTCTGTTTTTAAAAATATTTTTTAATATGTATTTTAATATTGTTGTTTTTTTAGAGATATTATTTTTGTTTTCTGATTTGGTTATCTTTGTGTAACCATAAACCCTAAATCCTTTTTTGAATAATTCAGGTATTTCTTTTGAGTTTTTAACCTTTTAAATGTTGCCCCTTCCCAGGAAAATTCCTGGATCCGCTGCTCGACCTAACTCACATCACCACTGACCTCACCATCTCTATTTCAGGCGTCTCTATCTCGACCTCACACTCTGTTTCAGTCGCATCTCTCTGTCGACCTCACCCTCTCTGTTTCAGTCGCGACTCGCCTCTCTGTCGACCTCACGATCTATGTTTCAGTCGCCTCTCTCTCTCTCTCTCTCTCTCGACCTCACCCTATCTCTTTCCCCAGAACCCTAACCTAACACCATCGAATTTCATCCAAAACTTCTTTGAATTTTTAAGGTTTTTTGAGAGCTCTGGGTATTTCAATGGAGGTACGATACCCCTATTTTTGATCTGTTGATTAACCATATTTGTTTCTGGTTTTTATTTATGTTCTTGTATCTTATTTGAATAACGATTTGTTGATGGCGGAACTGTGTTAATTTTGTTATGCAGGTTTCGACTGTGTTAATTTTGTTGATGGTGGAACTGTGTTAATCTATGGAAGGTTTTGAATTTTTGGCTTCAATGAAGGTAAATATTTGTTGCTAACCTTATTTTTGTTTTGTTTTGAGTGTGTGTAATATGTTGATTTCTGCTGCTAGCTTTGAATCTGTTTCTGATTATTTAGTTTAATTTCTGATTTCTGATTTCTTGTTATTTAGTTTAATTTCTGATTTTTAACTCTGTATTTTGGGTTTGATTGTTAGCGTTGAATCTGTTTCAATTTATTTAATTGAGCTGTCTTGAATCTGTTTTTTTTTTTGGCTTGGAATCAGCCTTTATCTATATAGGATCCATATGATAAAAATATAAATTTCATCGTTTACCTTTCTAATAGATACTTTTTGCTTAGGTCTCTTCCCAGTGATACTTTGAAAACAGCAACCCAAAATATCCTCCAGTTTAGCGGATTGTAAAAGCTTCAAATCCCTCCTTACCTGACATTAAAAGAAAAGAAAAAAAAGTGAGCCAAACCACGTACGTACATACATAGCAGTAAAGTAAAACATAGAATAGATAATTAAATTGTAAGATTTAATTGACCCTAATAAGCTAAGCAACCCAAAATTAGTCAATTAACTGCTACTTTGCCTGAATGTATATCGAAATTCAGTTTTTCCTTCATCCATGGAGAGTTCTGTCACTTGGTTTGAACCTATTTATTCTATTCCTATGACTGTTCAGTGATGGGTTTGCTCCTTTTAGGTTTAGGTTTCTATCTCATATCGTGTTGTGGGTATTGTACAATTTGCACATAAACTGTTTGTTAAAATGCCTGAATAGCGTTTGTTGAATTTTATTTTCACGCACGGATATGATAGAAGTTTCCGATCATACTTTCTCTAACAATAATAATCTGCAGTTTGACTCAATGGATTCAGAAGCAGAAGCTCTTGAGGAGAAGTTGACATCTTTACTTGGACAGCTCCAAGCAGAGAGTGCCATTCTGGAAAGAATGGTTTACAAGAACAAGAACCAGCATAGGCGTGGCTCGTATTTCCAGTACCTTATGAAGGTTTCAAATTCCACACCTTGTTTATAATCACAAAGCCTTTACTCAGTTGTTTGGTTCCTGAGAGAATTGATGAAATAGAAGGAAAATAAAATACTTTTTACTCTCATTGAGTATGCTTGATAGCAGTGAATGCTTAATTAGCGAATTTGGGTGGCGGGTTTTTGTTGCATAACGTCTTACTCTATTGTTTGCTTGTCGAGAAAAATTGATGGATGAAGGAAAAACTGAATTTCAATATACATTCAGGCAAAGTAGCAGTTATTTGACTAATTTTGGGTTGCTTAGCTTATTAGGGTCAATTAAATCTTACAATTTAATTATCTATTCTATGTTTTACTTTACTGCTATGTATGTATGTACGTGGTTTGGCTCACTTTTTTTTCTTTTCTTTTAATGTCAGGTAAGGAGGGATTTGAAGCTTTTACAATCCACTAAACTGGAGGAGATTTTGGGTTGCTGTTTTCAAAGTATCACTGGGAAGAGACCTAAGCAAAAAGTACATCTATTAGAAAGGTAAACAATGAAATTTATATTTTCATCATACGGATCCTATATGGATAAAGGCTGATGCTGCATCCCCTTTTTTCTTAGTTATGGATTTATTCAGTATGTTATATAAATGTGTATATATATATGCTCCATTAATGTTCCCTTTTGTTATGGATCTGGACCTTTGTCCCCAATTTGAGTACGTAGTTTATATTATGATCACTTACCAAATCATTACTTCACAGCTTGAAGAGAAGGAAATGTGAGAGTGGAAAATATAATTTCATGGACCGACTTCTGGGAGCTGTACGCCTTCTGTCACAGGTGTGTTCTTGTTTTCCTAATGATTTGTTAATTTTGCCTCATTTCCTTAAACTTCATAGTGGTGGTTAACATTGTTTTGTTCTGCTTTATGGTTATGCCTGACTGGATTTGAGGATGTGGGTATCTGACGTACTAACTTTCAAAAGTTCAAACATGAGGTCACGTAATCTCATATGTTTCCTTTAGATTCATATAGATGTCTGTATCTATATTTCAAGATATCTTTACTTGTAAAAGAAGTAAATGTCCACATATGTCAACATATTGCAAAAATAATGATGAAGTACAATTTTCTTGACAAAACTGTCCAAGACATTATTAATTTCCCACTCTTCTAAACCAATGAAACTGCATCCAAAGAAACTGCATCCAAAGAAATGTATGCTTATTGGTTAGCAATCAACTGATTTATCTATTCGTTTATTTTTGTCTGTGTGTGGGTGTGGATGTTGTCTGTCATAGGACAAGTTCTTTACTGTAGATTTGTCTACTAGGTAAACATCCTTCTTGATGAGCTGATAATCCAAGATGGAATTCTGTAATAAAGTAGGCTTTAGTTGTACTTAGATCTTGCAACTAATTATATGTTTGTGATGAGGACTTCATTAGGTGGTCCAGCTTGAAGTACTTGCTTTAATTCTAACGTGTTAAAAATGTGTTTTGTTTCTGCTGCAGATGGTTGAGCCAATGTTGAAGGCAGCCATGTATCCTTTGCTTACTGGTTACATATAGGAACTTTCTTGTAACGTTTATAAGATCAGAAGTAAAATTTGAAATTTGATGGTTTTGATGTCGTATATATGGTTGCCCGATTGACTATCATGAATTACCGTATTTCTAAGGCATCCGAGTCTAACCTTTAACAGTAGTTTATGTACTCTTATGATATACTTGGAACTGGAAGTCTTAGTAAAAAAATTTGTATAACAGAATCGCATGGTTTTACAAGTAAGCTGTTAAGTAATTTTACGTGGTATTAGATTTGTGATGTATCTTTTTATATTGACAAAAGATATATTTGTTTCTTATTGAGGCATGATTATTTTTACTGTTGCTAGGGTGTTTATATTCTACTTTTCATCTGTAGAGAAAATTCAAAAACAGGTCTTTGCCATTATGTATACAGTAGTTTAGTGCTTGGATCACCAAGCATAAATTGAAATATGCATCCTGTGAATTTGTTACCCTTGACTATTCTACAGAGAGATATCTACACTGCTCGCTCGATCATTTTTCATGGGATTTTCTCTGACTATTTTAGCTCTGCTTGCACGACTTCGAGTTTTGGTTCAACAAGTAAGTTCAAGTCTTTTTTTCCCCCAATACATTTAAAATTGAAATGTACAGATTATTTATTAAATGTGGGTAGTTTATGGAAAATGTGCTCATGTCCTTATCATTTCAGATGGGTTCAAGTGCTGAACCTGTTCATAAATTCGCATAAACCTGGAGAGCACTGTACATGGAATTGAGTTATCCAACAAAACAGTAATTTCCTTGTATTCAACATGGAATACAAGGCAAGCTAGCCAAGTGGGTAGTTTGTGTGGATTTATCATGAGTAAAAACAAAAAAGAAATGTAGATGCTGCAGCAGCATTTGGCTAGTGATACAGTGAGAAACCTAGGTGACTAGGTCTTGGTATTAAACATGGAGTTCAGCTATTGAGCGAATTAATCATGTCTAGGATGTGAAACTTGTCCATGTGGCTAGCCCTCATGAATGCGTCACTTACAAATTTTGGACATTTCAAACTTTGAGTTCTTCCTTAATAGACTGCTAGTAGTTGGACTGATTTGATGAACTTTTCTTTTGCTATATGTTCTACAGATTTTACTTGATGTTGTTTCCGTATTCAACATGGTTTCTTCTCTCTCCCAAAAGAAGCAATCCGTAAAGATAAATCAAGGAGGACTTGAGGTCACCCCCTCTTTTGTTCTGAAAATTACTCTGGTAACATATTGTTGTTAAATGCATTCTAGCTTCTATGTTATTTACTGCTTTTTTTTAACAGCCTGAACATTTGAGCCAAATCTAATCTGATTGGTGAATTTGCATGTATATTCTTTCCCCTACTCAATCTACGTTATTTTGAGTAGCTGACCTGTGTATATGGAGCATGTTCTCCTGTCATAGTTATGCTGCCATACTTTAAATCTGGACACACACATTTGGCGATAATCGAGCTAATCAATGGTTTATATTCACAGTATGGTAACATAAGGCATTTTAGCAGGCTGGCGAGAACATTTTTCTATATATACACACAGCTATATATAGGGTAATGCTGTCTTGCTAGATACATGTTATGTTGCTGGATATTTGAGTCATCCAGATATATTTAAGTGATTCATACAATCCTTAATAATTATGGGAGAGAGACATCTGCCCCTCTTTTTTCTTCTTTTGTTTCATAGAAATCTGTTCATTTGCTTCTTTAACCATGGAAAATATTTTGGGAATACTTAGATCATCTACCCAGAAAAGAAAAGAAAAAAGCGTGGACAGATCAATGACCTAGTCATGAAAAAGCATAAATTGAAGAATGTTCTTTCCTTTTCTCTTCTTGTTTTGTTATGTGGAAATCTGTCCCTCTGCATCTAACTTTAATGATGGAAAATATTTTACAAAACATGCTGGGATAGATCACTGACACAGATTACATATTTAGCAGCATATTGTTTCCTGCAATTCTATGAAACATTATTTTCAGATACAGAACAAACTTAACATAGGAGTCCCAGAGCTTCTGGAACTTCACAACATTACACTTTCCTGACATGGAGAATAACACCATGCCCAGGTTCAGTAACCAGACTAAAAAGAGGGGCGTGCTGGTACGTTGGTGAGAGGGAGAAGCAGAACTTTGATAGAACTGAAGCAAGAAGCACCTTAAGTTCCGTCATAACTAAATGTTGGCCAACACAGATACGAGGACCTGTTCCGAATGGCATGTAAGCCTGCGGAGACCGACAAGCCTGAAAAGTTCCATTGGCAAATCTTTCTGGGTTGAACTCATGCGCATCGGGCCCCCATATGTCAGGGTTGTGCTGTAAAAAGGGGATTGGTATTTGAAGGATCACACCCTTTGGAATCACAATGTTCTTGAGTGTGACAGTTTCAAAGGCCTCTCTAGTTACAAAGAATGCAGGTGGGTAAAGACGCAACACCTCCTGAATCACCATTTTCAGCTGCAGACAATTGTAAGGTGGCAATCAAATTCCTTGTGTCCATAAAATTTATAGCATTAATTTGAGGCCATTTGATCAATTCTTCATTTGTTTATGCTATGCATTTTTTCTTAATTAGTATACAAGTTTATCTTTATAAGAGATAATTTCTTATGTGACATACTACTTTCATGCTTCGAAGCATATCTCCGTCTAGAGGTTTATCCCCGCAGATTTCGAGCACCTCAGCGCGAGCACGAGCTTGCCAATATGGATGTGCAGCTAGTAACATCAAGCTCCATGATGCTGCAATGGAAGTGGTCTCATGGCCAGCAAAGAATATAGTCTTGCAGTTATCGACAATGAACTTCTTCTGCGATAAGCCTTTGGAATCCCCAGCACCGGCAAGAAGCATTTGGAATAAATCTTCCTCACCTGAAGCTTCAATACGTTGTTTTACCAGCTTTAATATCATTGACTCAGCTTCCTTCTCTAATCTCCATGTTTCTCTATTGTCATTTGTAGGCAGCAATCTGTCACCATGGTGCAAGAGCAGACATTCATATCAGATGTATGTTTGTATGCTAAGGCTACAAATTTTAGATATCAATTTATTTGACAGAAATAATTTGAAGTGAAACCACTTATGAGCAAAAAATTATACTGTCACACTAATTGGTATCCAAACTCTTAGAAATAAAATGTCATGAAGATCTTTTTGTAATATCATACCTCAAATCCGGAAGCGACATGGTTCCCTTTCTCAAAACTTTTTGCAGAGCCCTAAGTTTATTGAATATTTCTGCTACTTGATCATATCTGTTATTAAAACAAGCTCTTGAAATTATATCTGCAGCTAAGTTTCTCAAATACTTATCAACTTTAATTTCTGCAATTCCGCCCTTGCTGTCGATTTCATCTTCCCAACTTCTTAGCATTGAGGTTGTGGAGTCCACTATTAGGTCCACCATGCCCTTAGAAAAGAGTTGAACAAATGATTTATAAATGAATTGAAAGCATAAAGAGTTAGTGTCTTAATGCTGTATTTTATTAGAACGTGAGCATCCAAACCAAAACCAATTAGTTAAGAGTAGAGATGTCCAAAATCATTTAAGATGTTACACAAAGCTTTAATTTCCGGACTTGGGATTCGCACTATCAACAAATTTAGCTCATTGGAATTATTTTCAAAACAGGTTAACGCACAATCTATCGAAGATATTATGTTGTTAAACCATCAATATATGGTGCACATTCAAATAAGAATTTACCTAATGAAGAACAAAACAAACCTTAACCTTATCAAGATATTGCTCGGGAGCAATAATTCCCCTTTGATGGGCCCAAATTAAGCCATTCGATGATAAAAGGCCTTCGCCCAATAGTGGCCCAACAACCTTGGAAGTTAAAGAAGCCTTCCCTATGTTTAGAGACTCGCATAGGCCAATTTCCTTCGCCCATAATTGTTTTACGTGTGCACTTGCATACATAAATATTTGCCCTGCAACAAATACCTACTAAATCAAGATGTTTGACCCCCAAAAAATAAAATAAAAAGGAAATTGGGAGCTCAAATTGAATTTGTTTTTAACACGAAGGATATGAATGAAGCATACATGTCACTGAATGGATTGGTTTGGTTTGATTATTTTACTATTTTGAGCATGAATCGAACTAATTGGAACTGTGATGTTACACCAGTTCGGTGTGCGGTTAGAGACTCGAATCAAACCGGACCACATCTAGCCCTGAGCAATCCAATTAATTATGCTATATGTGCAAGAGAGTGAACCTACCATATTCATTTCGCCACTGCTCTATGTAGGGGAAGATTTTTGAATGCCATTCATGATCAATAGAAGCTACATCACCATCATGATGGAGTTTTGTTGGATCAGCAGTCTTTGTTGCTGTTGACTGGCCCTTGCTTTGCAGCCTCTTTATTGCAGAGAGGTTCCCTAAGAGAAATGAAGGAGGAGGCCCTCTAATTCCTTGCTTCCCAAGCTTTGATCTTAGCCCTCTAGGCCTCAATAACACAAGTTCACAAAGGTATAAAAACAAGACCAAAAACCCACCCAACAATACTGACACTATGACCTTTGCTGCTACTGCTGCCTCAGCTTCCATTTTTCTACTAATTCCTCTGCTTCTCTTGCTTTCTGTCTATTCTTTTTTAGTATCCAATTTATAGCAAAAACTCCCAACTATGTGACTATTATTGAATTTTTTGCGAAATCGTTGGAGTGTAGCATCAAAGTCAGCCTTTTGTTTCTTATGGTTCCATGGACCATGTCAACTCTTAAGCATACGTCACTGCAAATAAGCAAAAGACAATAGAAATGACAACCAAAGAGATTACAACCAAAGAGGATTAACCCTCTCACCTATTTAGGAATGATAGAGTTTAACTCTCACAGCCCAAATCCCAAGTACAATAGAGCCAAGACAAAATCTCAGATTCTTGCTCACAAATAGAAAGAACCAAACCAGAGAAATTACAAGAAAATCCTCTCTGTTTCTCCTCTCTCTGGTGCGACAACAAAGAGAGCAGCAGTTCTCAGCACTATGGTGCACACGGCACCTCCAAATGGTGAGGCACAATGCCGACTACCAAATTGATGCCCACTCTCTCACTTTTATTGCTCTAGGTGCACACAGCACCTCAAGTGGTGTTCATACACAATGATGGATTTAGGAATTTTCATTCCGGGGGTCAACGTGTAAAAGGTTAAAACAATTTCTATACAAAATAGACCCATTGAAATGAAACGATAATACTCTAATTCATAGTTAATAGATAAAACCATACAAAATACTCATGTTCATTATCAAAGAGAACTGCATCAATTTCTAAAAATAAACACACATCGCAATACACCAGAAATATCTCTAAGAATGTGATAATAAACCAAAAAATTAGTGCAATCATCTTCGCCTCCCAAGGCGTCTTATCTTATTCGACATAAGAACTGGCATATATTAGCACAATCCTGCTCATTTTAGGGCATTTACGTCATTTTTTTTAGGTTCGTCGAAGTTTTGATTTTGGGCTTTATCTGCATTTCTTTTGGGTTCTAGCTCTCAAACTTTGGACCCTTATGAGTATTGTCTTAGGGGGAGCTTATTCAAGCAAATATTTCTTCAATATGTAAGAGTTAGGTTATTCTTGTAAAACTCTTTGTGGATTGAACATCTAAAGCTTTTTACCTAGATTGATCTTAGGTCCCTTCATGCATTCATATCATATATGAAAAATTGTTTTATGTAAAAATATTGGCTAAGTATGAAAAATGGTTTTTTAGAATAATCATTTTCTCAAGATAATTTTTGGCGGCTTTTATTCCTTACACATCAAATAAGAAAACTTGATTTTATGGGATTTTAGTATGAAGTATATATTAACTTAATAAGCCAACATTTTTAGCCTAAATCATATTTTGCACTAAAACCGATTTTTCATATTTTGATTTGGTGGGAATTTGATTTTCTAGTATTTTTATTTGAATCCAAATGAGGGGTATTTCCTTATTTACATTGTAAACTTAAGTAAATGTCTTTGAAAATGAAAATAACGTAATCTGCCTGATGTGCTCTCTGGAGCATTTCATCAAGCAGTTTATGAGCAATTTTCAGGGGTCAACATCTTCGCCTCCAATGGTGGATTCCGGGCTTACAGAGGTCAATTGGCCCCTCTTGCCAATATGTGAATCCGCCCCTTTTCATACACACCAGCTCCACTACTCTCTGTCTTGTCCCACCATGTAGTCAAAAGCCAAAAGAAAGAGCCACAAAGAATGGCCAGTAGCACCCAAATATTCAAAGCTTTTCCACAT